TGAAGTTGCATCTTTGGAATTGTTGGTTCACCCTGCAACTGTGACATGTTTGGTGGGGAAAGCTGGTGACCTTGTGGCACACAGAGACAGTGGCAGGTTGCTTATGGTGGTGGTTGTGGGGCAATATTCTTTTCTTGCTTGGGACCTTGAAGTCTTGGGCTCCAATGATGCTGGCTATGTCAGGGCTGGCTTTTGCAGAGGTGGTGGTGCAATCCAGTGGCATTTCCTTGAATCTTTGGAGGAATGGCTGTCAGTCCCATCCAAGCCTGCTTTGGCCAACAAGTTTGGGCCCATGGTTCTGGACCAAGTGGCTGAGCCAATGCAGCTTTTGGCAGCCAGGATTGATGAAGGTTTGTCTCTCACTGTCAATCAGTGCAAGCTGGTGCTGTCCCTCTATGGAGTCCAGTATCGTTCCTCTTGGAAGAAAAGGGATTTCTACATGGCAGTATTCTCCATTTTCTTGTCCAGCCCTGAGGAGCAAGAGAAAGCTTTGAAGAAGTCCAACCTCAACCAGGCCCAGGCTCAAGATTCTGAGGATGAGGAAGCAGATAGTGAGTTTGAAGACTTGCTCCAGGGTGTGGAGGAGTTCAACCTGGGGGATCCTGACCTGAAAGCAGAAAAAGAGAAGCTAAAGCAGAGAAAAAATAAAAAAACTTGATGGTGTTGTTTTGGAGCTGCCAAGAGGCAGAGGCAGAGGCAGAGGCAAAGGTCGTGGCAGAGGAAGATTTAGAGGAAGGGGCAGAGGCAGGAGATCCTTGCTAGAAGGTTTGCAACCTGATGATGCGCCTGTGGAATCTGAAGCAAAGCTTGATGATGCAGCAGCTGAGCTTGAGGCCCCTCCAGCCCCAAGTGCTTCTTCAGCTGGCCCTGTTGATGACCCTGTGGCCCCTTCATTTGGTGACTCCCAGCCTGTGGCCCCTTCAGCTGGAGCTGCTGATTGCTCACAGCCTGTGGCCCCTTCAGCTGGAGCTGCTGATTGCTCACAGCCTGTGGCCTCTTCAGCTGAGCCTTCCCAGCTTGTTGCACCTCTAGCAGATGAAGGTGATGATGAGATGAGGAAAAAAGAGGTCCAGCACCAAAATACTTTGAATCACCACACCATGATTTGGACCAGCTTGCTCCTCCACAATGCAAAATTACACTCCATTGCCCAGCTCATTTGTTCACCATGACCTTCAGAAAAGAAGCAGATTGTGCAGACTGGAAGTTTCCTGATTGGTCAAGGAAAACATTCTCAAGATCCTTTGATTCAGGAGACCCAGAGTCCTGGAAAAATGCCCTTAGATCAGTGCATGATCATTGCTGGAAGAAATGGAAGCTGGCCTCCAAAGAGCCAGCATTTCAGTTGAAAAAAGTGAGAAGGCCCAAGTTCCAGGGCAAATTTCAGAGAGTGTCTTCAAGGATCTGCAGGAGTGGATTGACAATTTGCCAGATAAGAAGAAGAGACAGAAGAAAGTGGCAAGCACTTGAAAAAATGGCAGCAAAGTGCTGGCTGGGATGGGGAGAGTTGCCTGTGATTGATCAGCTTGTGTTTTTTGTTGAATGTTTTGGAATGAATTTGAATGTTTTGGAATGTTCTGGTACTATCTGTGATTTTCTGGAATGTTACCCAGTGTTTGATGAGATGCCCTATCATGAGGGCCCCTGAGCCCACAAATGAAAATCAAGATCAACTTGAAGCATGCAAGAAATACATAGAGAACATGCCGCTGAAGGAATTTGAGCTAATCGTGGAGGGCACTTCCGAGAAGCCTGTGGTGAAGTACAAGTGCTTTATTTGCACAACCAAGGGCCAGCCAGACGGAAAGCTGAACCATTTGGGGAAACCAAGTCTGAACAGTCTGAAGCGCTACCTGCATGTCCATTCCCAGAGCTACTTGCATGTGCAGAACCGAGCAATCCGTGCATCCCAAAACGAGGACGATCATGAAGTTGATAAACCAGAGCCATCCACCTGCAATGGCCATTTGGTGTTCGATTTCAGTTCTTTGTAATTCTTGTATGTGCGTGTGTTAGTTTCATGTTGAGGGAAGCCCCCTAACCCCATTGGATTTCCTTTGTATCCCTTTGTTATCTTCGGAATCTTGTTTAGCAAATGGCTACACTTTAACCATTGGGCCCTCATCAGGCTACTGCATAGCTCCAGAGACGGGGCTTGGCTCTCTTCGTTTCTATTCAGAGGAGTTCGAGATTTGGGCCACGCATTCCCCTTTGAAGTCAAAAGCTAGCCACGAGTACCGCCATGATGCCAATCAGGGAGTTTGGTACGTCAGATCCAAGGAGTGCCAAAAGGAGGTACCCAATGCACGACCTTGTTGTGAGAAGTGTCCGACCTAGCAGGTCCAAAAAAGGTTCAGCGTCTTGTGGTGCGCTTCGCGTCCAAGTACCATGCCGCACGACTCCTGAGGTACAAGTTGTTTGGGACGCCTGAACAAGTGGGGTTTGCTAGCAGAGGTCGAGAAGTCCCAGTTTAGTCTCAACAAAAAGGTCTACTGGGGGAAGTTGGTTGATCTGACAAATTCTGAGCTTCAGGCTTTTGCACGTTCCAGCTTTGGATCCATTTCAAAAGATCTTGAGAACCAGGCTTTACGCCAATTTACGACCATGGTGGTGGCTCCATCTTTGCAAATCAATGTAGCTGCAGTTGATTCATCCATGATTCAGTTGTCTTCCCAGTTCGTCGGGGCACATGCCTCACAGAAACTCAATGATACTGGGCAGATTTAGAACCTCAGACACATGCACAACTAATGGGCAGCGCCCTTGTAAAATGATGTTCCTGGATCAAGTGTTCTGTGCTACTCTGTTGAAACTTTTGGTTGTCATATGTGATCCAAATTTTGCAGAGGCAGAATGTAGATGGGTGGCTCAAGTTCTTCACTTTGCAGAGTTTTAAGGCATTTTACATCATATACATTCATTTACAAACGTATTGAATATGTATGAAAATGTATTGATAGTAATGATATTAAATGTAATTAAAATATATATATTCTATATATCTATATATAAATATTAATACGTATGGGGTTCTATATGGGCCTCTGTTTGGTTTCATTGCAGCTGGCCCCTGCAGCACTTAGGAGCTTGAGAGCATCAACGTGAGCATTGCCAAGGCGGCATTGGATGGGCAATTAGACAGCAATCCATTCGTGCAAGGCATCATGCTGAAATGCCTCTCAAAAATTGAGAAGAACGATCGTGGTGTGTCAGATCGCGGGCGCAAAGCTTGCGTCTCGGAGACTGAGCGCCGGCTTATGGAAGGAGCCGCGTTCACACTGGCCCTAGCGGGCGGCAATCGAGAGCTTGCAGTTGAACTTGGCCAGCATGTAACGCCACTTCGTATGCATTGTGACCTACTACTTCCAATGGGGCAGCCAAACCCTGCACTTTTGTTGAGATCTTGTGCCAAAAAGCAGCTGTGTCAGAACATGCAACTTCTTGACCAACGCTTTGCACGTTCTCCCAAAATGAAATCACGGAGGCTGGTTTTGGCCCTGGACCAAACTTACTTGGACAAGACCCTGAACCAAGGTTCTGTTGAAGGAACTCGAGGGCTTCTTGGGGGCACTTGGCGACCCCGTCAGGAAGGTCAATAATTCATCGCCTTCACAGAGATGTCAAAAGATGCTGCTCGCACTCCCAAAGCCAGCCTCATGTTTGAAGCGTTGGCATGGGACCCTTGTGCTGCCCATCAACAGTGCTACTTCATCCCTGCAATGCCGATGTCTCTGGCTGCACCCCGGGATGAAGCTACGCACAGGGATCATGGAAAGCTGGTTCCTGGGTTGCAGCAGCTTCATGACGTTTAATGACGTTTAATGATTCTAATGCAATGCATTTTAATACATTTTAGTGCATTTTATTGAATCATGCTACACCAAATCCATCCAAATCCATCCAAATTCTATCAAATTGATATTCAAATTGATGCAAATTGGATCCAATTGGACTAAGTCTAAGTGTATGTTTTTATGCAGTGTGGCTGTAGTGCACGCGCAGCCTGAATCAGGAAATGCTCCATGTTGTGGGGCGATTGGTGAGTGAAGCACATCACTATGTGAAGGCAATCGTGATGGACACGCACGCGAGCCATGCTTGGATTCGTGATTTACTCTTTGGTGAGTTCCGTGGACTGAGCCCCGAACTTCTCAAGGACATCCCTTTCTTCCAGGATATCCACTATGTGAATCTCCCCAAGCACGTCATTCCAAAGTTGGATATCAAAGTGGCCATGCACAATGATTCTGCAGTGTGGCTACTCCCCGGAGTTTGTGACTTCTTCCACATTTGCAGCAATGATTTTCACTGATTTCCAATGTTCTTAATATTTTTAAAATTGTATTTTATTGTTGTTCATGGTTTTGCTCAGCTTGTGGAGGTGCAAGGCCGCGCGGCAAAGAATGGCGGAGGACAGCTGAACTCACCACTCCGCACTTTGATGTTTGGACAGATCTTTACAGACACAACAGCTGCAAGGGCCCTGGGCTTGCCACCGTGCAGCTACGCACAAACATCACCCATGTCGGACGCACTCCATGCTGCGTTATTTATAACCCCTTTTATGCTGTTCTCGATCCAGCCGTGGCAGTGAAGCATGCAGAAATTCCATGGAATTTGCGTGGGTTTCTTTTGCTCAACCTTTGCACAGCTCTTTGCTGCGTAGCTTTTCTTGAACGGGGGATGTGACAAATTTGATCAAAATTGATCAAATTTGTTTGAACCATTTTCATATGCTGTGTTAATCTTTCTTATGGTTTGATATAATGTTTTGTCCATTTTATTTTGAAGAATTTGGATTGGGATATTCCAGCTAGGCACCAGTCCTTCACAAGAGCACGTCTCCACGGGTACGATGTGAAAACCTGATGACTGGCTTGCTCCTTCTAGACCTTTTCAATCTCCTCTCAGACAAAGAGGCTTCACGTCGGGGGCTCCCGAAGGGCTCTCTTTGGCTTGCCCCCTAGACCTATGACAACTTGAAGCATGTTGCCAAGGGAATGCTTTGCCTCCTGGTCTCAAAGGAGCCAATCGGAAACTTTTGGTGCAGTGGACATGGACGCTTATCGGAGTTGCCAATTGAGGAGTTCTTTGGCAGGCTTCGGTCAAGGGCTCTGAATGCGCAGATGTCAGTGCGCAGCTACTTCAAGTCTTCAGCCAAAGAGGTGATTCGAACCTTCCGTGCAAACAACAAAGAGAAAGACCCAGGCGCATCCAACATGCAAATTGTGAAGCCTGTCTCAGAGGATGATTTTCTTGCTTGCAATGTTTTAGCTTTGAAGGCTGGCACCAAATTAGCTGGTTGGTGTGCAGATGTGGATGACCAATCTTTGCTCAATGCCTATCACGTGTCTCCGGCGGAGTTGCTTCAGGATGATGATCAGCCGCTCCACCACTGGGAGAATGATTGGAATGGGCACTCCGATGAGGTGGAGGAGTTGAATGAGCCGACTTGCGATAAAGTGCTCCATTCTGTAGCTGAGGATGCCAAAGATGTCACTGAAGAAGCGAATGGCATGGACCTTCTGGGTGAGGTCCAGGGTCAGGAAAGATTTATATAGTGATATTACATGATATTATTTGATATTAAATCATATGATATAGATTAGTTCTAATGAATTCTAATGAGTTGTAATTATAATAATGGGGCCCGAATATATACATCCGGACCAATGAGAGTCAATATGAACCAAGTAGATATAAGCTAGTGGCTCTGTAAAGTCAGGTCCATGGCAGAGGTGTTGCAGGTTGCTCTGCAAAATCATGGCCTGGTGTTCTTTTTTGGAAATCCATGCTGCATCCAATTTAGCAGCAGCACCAAGATTTGCATTTTACAGCCTCCATCGTGGTTCCAACTTAGTTGCAGCTGCTAGATTTGTATTTTGCTGTGGGCAGAAATTCAACACAAGATTCAGTTTAGCATTTTACAGACCATGGTGATCCATTTTGGTCCATTTTATTCCATTTGGATCCATTTTGTTTCTACTTGTCCTTCAGATCTAAAGATTCTGGTGCTGATTTGACAGGACCAACATGGTGAGGATGAAGATCTTGCAGACCTTGATTTACGTGGCGTTCCTGATGCTGACAAGCTGAAGGCGGTCCTTAGGGCCTCAGAATCGGGCGCTGCGTTTGGCTTTACACATTCCCCGCCGAGGTACTCCAATAGCAACCAGCAGATTGAGACCGTGTCTTCCGCCTTCGATCAATGCGGCCCAGATCTCAGTGCCAAGAACCTTGTCGATGCGATTTGGCGCCTTTGTATGTTTCTCAGACATTGGGGTGGAGGATGTGACAGGCATTGGATTGAAAATCCTGCTGCTTGCCGGAAAGTGTCCACGCAGACAAGTTGGTGGAGGCATCTTGGCTATAAGATGTTTGTTGATGTTTTTTGGTGTTTTTGAATACTTATGATATTAATTGATATTTTAAAAATATAATAGGTTATATTTTAAATATATATATATATGGAATCATGAGCTTGTATCATCTCTATAGCAGACCCCAAGACTTGGCAAACAACAGGATAACTACAGGTTTATCATTTTGAAGACCCAACACTATATACACTATTGTATCTTCTCCATCCTGTTTCCGTTCTTTTCTATCCTTTTCCAAGTTCCTGCTGCCAAGTTACAATGAAGCAAAGCTGGCGGAACTTCGCCGTGAAGAAGGCAGTGCAGAATACAGAAAGAGATCCGGCCGCATGGAGAAGTGGAAGCAGGTCGCAATGGATGCGGCAGTGGATCCAGCTGCAAGAGATCTCATCTCAGACAAGATTGAGCAGCTGTTTTTTTTTGAGTTTTTTCAATCTTTTTGGTGTTTTTCCCAATTGATCCCGCTCCTGGCCCCAGTTCGCTCGGCAAAGTCCTTGGCTCTGATTTTTTAAGTTTTTTTGGAATTTTGCCAAGGCATGGCCACATCATCGCCATCGTCATTCCCAGAAAGGGATCAGCATCTGCCCAAAGGGCCACACTTGCAATTGAAACATCCCTGTGGCGGAACCCCAAGAAGCCACAGCTCAGTACGACAGCCTTGTCAATGAGCCAGATCATTGCTTTGCGCTGCATTGAGCTGGAGCAGCGCGTTGAGGACGGCAAATGGTGGTGCTGCAGCACATCGAGGGCATGGGTGGTGAAGTCGTATGCGGTTGCTGCGGTCTTGGACATGTCAGAGAGCGCTGACACCGTGGATGGATTGACTATCGAGCTTTCCGAACAGTCTGCAGAGTATGTCGATGGTTTGGATCAAGTTCCACATTGGTGGCCTGCAGAGCAGTCCACGTGTGAGGCAGAGGATGATGCAGATATGAGGGCCATGCCTTTCTCAGGACTGATCGTTGGTCGTGGGAGGGGTCGGAAGAGAGGTCCGACAGGCGAAACCAACAAAAAACCAAAGAAGAAGAGGAAGACAGGTGAACAGGATGAACAGGATGAACAGGATTCAAAACCGGAGGGAAGGAAAAAGAAGAAGAAGGTGAAGCATCACAAAAAACTCAAATCCACAAAGAAACCGATGCCGAAAGTTGCCTTTCTGGCATCGAATATGTTGAAAAACAAAATTGGCCGAGCTTTGGTGTCGCAATCGCTTGAGAAATTCAAAATGTTGGATGCCGAGCAGTTTGCAAAGAGCCCGGCTTTCTCCTTTTCCGGCGAGTGTATGATTCCAGTGGAAGGCGTGAAGGGAACCACTTGGGAAGACATTCAGTTGTATGCATTTGATTTCCTGACCCGTGTGAGACTTGCAAATCGAATTTCATTGACATTTATCCATTTTTTCGGTTTATTTTCTGAGGTGGCTGTAAGACATCTTGCCCTGTACATGTTTCCTGTTCGTCCCCCCGTCCTATATATGCTGCTGATTGCAAGAGCTTCGCAGGTTTCCGCAGCAAGGTCTTTGAGAGGCTTGACGGGACGATGAAGGAGCTGGAGGCAGCGTAGCCCGCAGTCGCAAGTCGTGGCTACATTTGATCAAGGACATTTGCCTCTATCGGAATGCCTATTACTAAAAGAGCAAGGAGAATCAGAATGACGACGGAAAGGAGAGTGAGCATGAGGGCGAGATGGGTGAGACTGAGTGAAAGAGCTTGAAAAAGCTTTGCACATCACAAAACAGGGGGCAGCTTGCATAGCTTAACAATCAGAAGATTTTTGGTACAATACGGTAAAATATTCTTCTTGCATTGACGATGAGCAGTGCAGGGGGCGGCAATACAGGCATGCAAAAACCAGATCTGATGACAAACCGGGTCATTGCAAAAACATGTGTCTGCGCGCGTTGGGCAAAAATGGTTGAGAATGATCGCAGTTTTTGGCAACAGCATCATATAATACCCTCTCTGTAAAATGCATTTGTTGTTTTTGGATGTATTTGGGTGATATAAAGGGGGTTTTAAGATTGATTCTCTGTAGAATGCATTTGGGTACTTTTTTGGGGGGTCTGAGTGGCTAAGATGATTGGATGATACTTTGAATATATTTCCAGAGGGTTAGCACTTTACAGATGGATAGTTGAAAAAAGAGGATTTTGGAGTACCCTGGGACGTACAACTTTACAGAGATTATGGATTTTTTATTTTAGGTTGGAAACAGTATATTACAGAGGCCAGAATACCACTTCTCAGTTTTACAACTGTAAACTGGTGGTTCACCCCAAACTCAAGGGAGGATGTATTTGGAGATTTGAGTTTTATCCAACCATACCCAACCAATATTTTTGAAGTTTCTACAACCTTGCGAGGGCCATCCGTTGGAGCTTGCAGGCACCGCTGCAGTTGAGCCATTGCGTCAAGGCACGGGGTGCCTTTGCACCAGAACAGATTTTGGTGGATTCCTACGCATTGGTGACGTAAGGTGTAATAGAAGGTAATAAAGGATAATAAAGGGATATAATGGGCTATGTGTGATAAAGGTCTGGATGTTACATGAAGTTACAAGGCTCATAAGGTGTCAAGGATTTGACCTTTTGCATCACTCCGTCTAACTCTCCATGGTTGTGCTGAAGCGCAGGCTTGGCCGTGCAGGAGCAGCTGCTGCTTCGTACATGCTGCAGTGCAAGTCGAGAAGGTGCCAGATGCCATGTTGTCAGTGGTCTGCAATGAATCCCTTGCTGTGAGAACACAGGGTACTCGTATCTTGGTGTTACAGAACGCAACAAGATCAACAAGTAATTTATTCAACAGGTCCTGCCACACCTTTGGTAAGATATCTTCAAGATCTTCATATGTCAAGTATACAGTATACCATTCCGTTCTACTTCTGAGACCACATTATTGGATCTTGTTCATCAAGTGTGGCAGGACAAGAGGCGGTAGCACCCTTCAGAATTACAGATTATTGTTTTTACTCCACTTGAATGCTCTTGAACACTTGTAATTGGTGAAGAAGTGCTTGAGCCTAGTTTTCCCTGATGAGAGAATTTGTAAACCTTCAATACATAGCTTCAACCTGTGCATCTCCGGTTCCAAATGTCGATTGGGATGGGTGCATGACATTGTCCTCCAGTACTCCCTTCAGTGACTCCAGTGATCCGGTGCAGGTGTGAGTGGCACGTTCGTCTTTTGGGAGGAGGCGCTCAGCAATCGCCAAGCGCGCCATGCCAAGCGTGGTGCCTTGCTACATTGGGCCGATTACAAAAGGCCTGCCGTGGTCGAGTTGTCGACTTTTTGAGTTGCCCACCATGGAAACATGAAGCTATGAATCACCTATAAGGACAGACGTGGTTGGGTTAGCGGCTACAGATACCAGAGCTGTGGATTTTTTAAAACCCTACATCAGTCAGAAATGGCCCCCCTTGCCAAAGGTGGTTCCAGCACACCGTGATGGAGAGTCAAAAACTGCGGCTCCGTCGACTTTTTTGGGCTTTGCGGCCCGTCTCCCAGCCGCAGGACGGTAAGCCAGGTCATGCCGGCTTAAGTGTGACACATTGTGGCGGGGTAAACCGAAGCGTTAAACCTGGTTTGAGAATTTGACAGACACTTGCTGAGGCATTCAGTTGGTGGTGAAATGTGATGTAAAATTGTTAAACCAAAGGATATATATATATATATATATATACATTTGACTCGGGTACAAAGGATCGGGACCGTGGCCCTTGACCCTTGGAGTTGCTGCGAGGAACATCGGGATTTGCGCGACCGCCTAGCACTGCGCAATGCGCAACGCACTGCGCAGCGATGTTTGAGAGAACTTCATGTGCGCTTCCTTCGTCAGCGTAAGGTGCAAGCAACATCAAGCAACAAATGCGAAAATATTTGCGTTTCAAACAGCAAAGATAGAAGTGACATCAAGTGACTCTTTAATTCGATTGCTGTCGGAAAGGTGATCATGTCACTACCATTCACTATTCTCATGTGGTTGTTGCCTTGCAAGGCGCTACGCGCTCGACAGCTCCAGCTGCAACGCCAGTGTTTCACTGCGATGGCTCAATGGCAACTGTTGCGGTATGCCTTCCAATGCCTGGCCGGAAGGACTGGACGCAGAAATACGAACATGGATTTTTGATGAATTTTATATGAATCGATAGTGGACGATAGTGAACGATAGTGGACGATACTGGACGATAGTGGAAGCCGTAACATCAATCAACATCCATCGACTATCTTGTAGTCTTTATATTTATCAACATATTATATATATACATATATATATACACGTATATATTATTATTACTGTTGTTATTATTATGATTGTTGTCTTTAGTGTTTTTATTTTTGCTTTTATTATTCTACTATTGTTGTTCCTTTTTTATTTTTATTTTTTAATATGATCAGTGTATAATAGTTATATATTATTATGTAATAGTGTTAACTATTTTTTGTATTATTGTATTTTATTATTATATTATTTGTTTTTATTATATATTATCATGTTTATATATTATTATTATTATTTATTTTTATTTTTATTTTTGTTAAGTTTATGAAGAACCGAGCCAGCTACACATTGGAAATATTTAAAATATATTTTTTCATTTTTTATCATTTTGGTTTTCATTGCGTTCATCATTTTTTATCATTTATTTTATCATCTTCATTTTTTATCATTTCAGGTATCATTTTTAATCATTTTTTTAATCAGTTTTTCATTTTTTTAAACATTTTTTAATTATTTTTTTAATCATTTTTCATCATTTTTGCTTCCAGTGGTGCAAAAAAAATCCAAAAAATGGAAAATTACAATTTTCCTCGTTTTTTTTCATTTTTTTTTATCATTTTTCATTTTTTTTATCATGTTTTTATCATTTTTTGCTTCCAGTGGTGGAATTGATGAAAAATGATAAAAATGATGAAACATGATTAAAAAAAATGAAAAAACAATGAAAAATGATTAAAAAATGAAAAAATGAAAAAACAACTCGAGGAAAATTGCAATTTTCCAAAAAATGAAAAATTGCAATTTTCCTCGTTTTTTCATTTTTTTCATTTTTTTATCATTGTTTTATCATGTTTCATCATTTTTGCTTCCAGTGGTGCAAAAATTTTCCAAGAAATGGAAAATTACAATTTTCCTCGAGTTTTTTTCATTTTTTTTATCATTTTTCATTTTTTTATCATGTTTTTATCATTTTTGCTTCCAGTGGTGGAATTGATGAAAAATGATAAAAATGATGAAACATGATTAAAAAAAATGAAAAAACAATGAAAAAAATGAAAAAAAAATGATAAAAACAAATGAAAGAAACCCGAGGAAAATTGTAATTTTCCATTTCTTGGAAAATTTTTGCGCCACTGGAAGCAAAAATGATGAAAAATGATAAAAAACAATGTTAAAAAAATGAAAATAATGATAAAAATATGATCAAAAAAATGATACCTGAAATGATAAAAAAATGAAGATGATAAAATAAATGATAAAAAAATGATGAATGCAATGATAACCAAAATGATAAAACATGACAAAAAACTATTTTGACCTGGCCCAGTCTGTGGCTGCAAGTTTTTCATAATGTTAAGTATTAACTATTTGTTTGATACTTATATTATATTATTTTAAATGTATGTTAATATGTATTTATGATATTGCTGTTATTTACAGTTTTTCAATATTATTATTTTATTATCATTAAACTTATTATTAGTATTACTTTAACAACAATAACGCTAATAATAATTATTATTACTATAACAACAATAACAATAGTAATATAATATATATATAATATTAATTATTTTCATTATTACTATATAATACATTATTTACTATATTGTATTTTATATGATATATACTGAGAGATACCAGTGTGACAGTTTTCCCAAAGTGATCGGTGTAGAAACGCATGGGCAACAGACCTGCAGGAGTGATACGCCAAGGGCGCTGCCAGAGTTCAGCGACGTCTTGCTAGTCAAGGCCATGGATTTGTGACTCACCGGCTATGGGAACTATGGGAATCGCACTTCCCGTTCCCTGAACAATGGTGCATTCCCCAAATCCAGTACTTTATCTATGTCTATCTCAGTTGTTCTTTGAATTCTGTTATTTTGGAAGAGAATATGCCGTTATAAATTTTTTTTGGGGATGCTCAAAACACATTTTCAAGTGCAATCTGCGTGTAAAAGCAGCAACTTGCCATGGAGATGCAGCGCAGGGCTGATTCTTCGAAGCGTTGGAGCGGAGCCAGTCAGTTGGGATGTGCACGATTACAGTACTTGGGTCCTATCGGTCCCACTGTTGAGGTTGTGTCAAGGCTCAGCTGTGACAGATGCAATAGGCTGCTAATAGGCTCTTGATGCTGCGATGTCTCAGTGAATCAGGGGATTTTATTGATCTTCTCGATCTTCTGGATCTTGTGGCCACTTCACTTCTACGACGTCACTTTGTTTCATGCATTTTTTCTTTGAGAAATTGATTCAACCTCGTTGCTGACGTATTTTCCATCCTCCTCTGAGAGCACTCCCGTTGGGAGACTGGATGTCAGAGGAGGGCAGCGCTGTCGATGTGATCAGGACATTACACTGCTCGAGAGAGCTCAAGAGCATGAATTATTCACATCTCGTTCACATCTTATTATCTAATAATACTATAATAATAATAATAATATATATATACATTACAGCATATGTCATATCTATCATTATTGATCCATATTTAATTCCTTTAATTATGATTATTGTATAATATTATATATCCTTGAATGTATGAAATGTAAGGCTGTAATCAGCAGTGTACACATCAATCATATGCATGAATTGTATATCAAATGATTCCTTGCATTTGCTCTAGAATCAATACTTACATTGGATTGCTTGTTTCGATCCCGTGCATGTTGCAGACCGCAGACCTGATTCACTTCGCCAAAGCATGATTGCGAAAATTGGCTACCCAAAATCACACAGTTCCTTCAGAAGGTTGCAACATCGTTCACTCATGAAGGAACCAACTGTGAAGCCTAGATGCAGCCACTTTGGGTGACAGAAAAGATCGTCTATGACCTCTATGTCTAGATTTAGATGTTGTGCTGAAGCCATAGGGCTGGCCTACCTCGATGGGTCCTCTTGCTTAGACCGTCACATGCAACTTATCAAGCATTTTCAACGCCCGCTGGTGCTGCGGCTTTAGCTCAACAACGAATCGACGTGGGGTTGCAAATTGGTTTCTTTGGGAGTTGATGACATAGGATTTCAAAAGACTTCGCACGCCTCTTGCAGCGGGCTTCTTTTCCCGATTTGTAAGAACAAAAGGCTGCTTGGTGGCTCGTTACCCAGAATCATACAAGCCAAGTGCAAGCAGAACAGCTCAGGCCTGCTTTGAAAACACCGAGTTTTTTTCCCCAAACAGTGTGTCCACAATGGGGGGTTCTTACATGCATTTCGATTCTGCAGGCTCGCACGAAGTGTGTGTCCACGTTCCGGGCTCAATCTGTGCCGCGGCATTTTTCCTGTAAATATCCGTATAAAGTGGCTCTTGTGAAATGTTGAATGTTGACACGCGTTTCGACTGCGCAGTCTCGCACAAAGTGTGGTCCTCGGTCTTGGGATCGGTCCTCCTCCTCAACATCATCATCCTTCACATCATCGTCTTTCTCCTCAACATCATCATTCTCAACATCATTATCTTCCCCCCTTCACATGATCATCCTCAACATCATCATCCTCCACCTCATCTTCCGCAACATCATCCTCCTCCACCTCATCTCCCGCCACATTATCATCCTTTTCATCATCCTCCTCAACATCATCATCCTCATCATCCACATCATCCTCATCATCCTCATCCTCCTCGACATCATCATCCTCAACGTCATCCTCATCCTCCTCAACATCACCCTCACCATCAACATGCTCAACATCATCATCCTCAGCCTCGTCATCCTCATCATCATCATGAATCATCATCATCATCATCATCCTCCTTCTTCTGAAAATCATCATTCTCCTTCTTAGCATCATCATTTTCCACCTTATCATCCACATCTTCATCATCATCATCATCATCATCAGCAACAACAATACTACAATACATTATCCTCCCCCCCACATTGTTGGGGTCTCTTGCCGGGATATTTTTTTCCCGGCAATGCATGTGTTGTCTACGCTACAGTAATTTGTGTGGAGTTGAAATTTCGCCATTGAGCAGAAGGTAGGTCACCAACGTTCGCGATGCTTGACATCAGATCCCTTGGTCTCCTTGGTCCAAACATGGGTCAGGGATGGTCAGGGAATGCTGAGATGAGAGGAAAAAAAAGGAAAAAGGAACACTGTTGCCTTCGCAGATAAGCCAATTTGTGTTTCGTTTTGAAAGGATCAAATCATCAGGACATAGCTGACATAATCTGACATAGCAATCCATTGCAAGTGGGTATTGCAAATGGGTTTTTGATGTTTCGGGTTTCGGGTAGAGTATAAAGTAGCATCATGCTTGTCGTATGCGCCTGTCGTATTCCCAGGTCGAGGAGAGGTGGCATTTTTGCAGCCACAGGTACATCCCGCAATTCATTTTGCAAGAGCATGGAATAGTCCGACACTGTATCGTCTGTATAGTGTACGATGTGGTGTGAAATTTTGGTTTTATCAATCATCTCATGGTTTTCGTTTCATTGGTTTTCACTATTACTTTTACTACTTTGGACAGCAACTTTGGGATCACTCTCCTGTTTTGAGGTGAAGATGGTAAGATATCTAAGATTTCAATTCAATAGATTTCATAGAGCGGTAGGAAGTCTAAGATTTCAATTCAATAAATTTCATAGAGTATTAGGAAGAGCCAACAGTCTGGATGCATGACCACGCAACAATGATGCAACACCCATCCAAACGCATCGTTTTCAGAGTGTTTGGAAGCATTTGCGAGGCTCCACCGGCGGTCACCAGGCTTGGAAGCCAAATCTTGGGTCGATGACCGCGAGTAGAGTCACAAGAGTCAGCAGAACCTCGAAGGAGGTCTGACTTCCGAAAGAAGGGGGTTGAAGGGCCACAATATTAAAAGTGCTAAGGTCTAAGACTCGTCAGCTGTTACTACGACCGCTTGGCAGTGTTCAAAGATACACCACAAGAGCTGCAAATTCCCTGAGATCCGACTTGATCGACTGCCTGGAGACGCCACAGACCTACTCCATGGCAAATCAGGACTGGTTCATGTGTCGAAGTTTGCAGCAACACGTGGGGGTGGGTCAATAAATGCAGGAATCAGGACAATCTTGGGATGAAGATGAGTCTAACGGGATTTTACTTCCCGCCTTTGCCACCTATTTTGGTTCACTCAGGTAGCCCATGGTAGCACTTTGTCAGTCCTGGCAGAGGGTGGCTACAGGACACAGCGGCGACGGCCACTGAACCCTTGATCGCGGCTGAAAACTTGGCTGGTGCTGGACTCAGGCTATCAGGAGACAAATTGAATCAAATTGAATGGAAAATGAAGCGAATAAAGAAAACTGACGAAATACTTTCTATACGATGCGTTCACATGCTTTGCTGCGTTTAGTTGGGGGAAAAATGTGGAAGTCGGTGCGTGCTGCGTCCAGCTGGTGTTTTGAAACACTTATTTTTGATCATTGATACTTTTACCCGCGTTTTTGCATATTTGGAATTTACCAATTGTGTCAGTACCATTGGGAATTGGATTGCTTTGGTTTTGCCCGTTTAAAATTTGAAGATGTGGTTATGTTGAAATGATGTGGGGGATTGGTGGCAAAAGGGTTTTTCCATTTTTTGGGGATCGCCGGGGTATCGCCAGAGTATCGCCGGAAACACGTGAGTTGTCTTGCCTTGCCTTGCCTTGCCTTGGCTTGCCTTGGCTTGCCTTGGCTTGGCTTGGCTTTTCTTGTCTTGTCTTGTCTTGTCTTGTCTTGTCTTGCTGCTACTGCTGCTACTGCTGCTACTTCTGCTACTTCTGCTATTGCTGCTACTGCTGCTACTGTTGGTTGTGCTGCTGGTATTACTACTTTGTTATGTACATACTCTGTCACTTTGTCCCATCATTGTCCAATCTTTGGAACTGCGAGTTTCGCATCGGTTTTCGCATCTCACCACCAAGGTGAAGCGCCTGCAGCGCCTGCAGCGCCACCAGGACGCAACCGCGGAGAGGCGTCCATGATCGTCCATGTATTCAATCAGTTCGTCTCAAGGAGTCAAAAGAGTCAGGAAATGTGAGGAAGGTCTATGAAGGTTGAAACGCTGACAGAAAACGTACAGAAATGATCTATATTTACTTGATTTCATATCAATATCTTCAACCGGCCAATGCCGAGGTGCGATCAGTATACGTTTTGTTTTGTGTTTGGACAATACAATCAGTGCATATTGGTACTCGTAATTGTGTCTGGAGAAAACTGGCCTTAGATCGGGTATCTGATTGGCAGATTCATTGCTTTATGGCAGATCTCAAGCAACGGCTGATTCGTTTTCCTCACGCAGGGCGGACGGCAGCGCCGTGAACGCCGACAAGTCACATACTCATGGCTACACATCTACATATAAGTCATTCTCCTAGCATTCAGGTGTTGTCTCATTACATTCAGGTGTTAAGTTCGGTTTGACTCAGCAGCAAAGCAACTGCATGCACTTTTTCCCTTGAATTTTGCAACACAGTCGTGCTCTGGATTTTGCATTCTACTGTTTGAAAGGCTGAGCAAAGTTGCGCAATGTAAATGTATGTTTCTATCAAATTGATGTTTTTTTGGTTAGTTATATTGCGTTGGTACTGTGTGTTTGCGCTACGATTCGAATACTTGGATGGTGTTGGCTTGTTTGCAATGGGTAGTGCCAGCCTCAAGCCACAAAACTTTCAAACAATGACGCTTATCACACAACATAAACCGATAGAAAGATCAACTGACATGGTTTCATGACCAAAAAATCTCAAATTCAAGCTTGGCTGAACGGTTTTTACATGGAAAACCTGTATGGGCAGCGCATGACTTCAAAGCATGCTCATGCACGGCGGCGTCCCGGCGTCCCGGCACCCGTGATGATAAAACGCAAGTCAATCTTGCACCACCCTTGGCGCAGCGAGCAGTACGGCGCAGTCGTATCAATGTGTATCCCAAGATATGATTTTGCCAAAATATTGTTTTGCCACAATATCATTTTGCCAAGGTATGATTTTGCCAAAATATCATTTTGCCAAATTCTTATTTTGCCACAATACAATTTTGCCAAAGTAACATTTTGCCAAAGTATCTTATTTCCGGTGGAACCATCGTTCAGCCAAGCTTGAATTTGAGATTTTTTGGTCATGAAAACCATGTCAGTTGATCTTTCTATCGGTTTATGTTGCGTGATAAGCGTCAGAGTCATTGTTCGCAAGTGTTGTGGTTTGAGGCTGGCAGTACCACTGCCAAAC